TACGAACTGAGTGAATGAATAGTCACAAAGCTGCCAATAAAACATCATAGTTTTAACATTATCTAAGCTTACTATGGGCGCGTCATGGTACGAAAAGTTAATGTAAGGTTAAAGTAACATTGTTTCAAGAGGTTGTGGTGGGCCCCCTGGAACCTATTTTCGGATTTTCAATCTTAGCTTCCTTCGCTTGCTCTGGTTTCAATAAAACCACTCGCGTCAAACAACAACTTTCCAGTCTTGCTTACAAATAACTATTATGTTATACTATCGACTTAAATATAATTTCGTCTGAAAATCGAATCAACATTCTCATGTCCAGCAACCAAATAATAATAATTTCGCGAGTAGGTCACGACCAAAGCGTTCATGCGTGAGTATTTAGTATGTCGCGATAATTGAATAAGGTATTATGTCAGCTATTATACAGATTAATGATTCTAATAGGCTTCCTCTTAATAGGTCAAAGGGCTTACGGTCATTATGAGTGACTTCAAAGATAAGGTATTCATTGGCTCTTGAGGCAATGGACTACTATAATAAATAGTCAAAGGCCTTATGTACTTACTACGAGTATTATTAAGGTTAAGATTATTCAAGCATAAAATATGAAATACACTGCAGTACATAAATTATTAAAGGTCAGAAGAAAAATATACGTAATTGTGTAAAGCAGTCGAAACATAAATAATTTGTAATTGTGTTCTTTATAGTCCTTATAAACACTTACACATTTTTACAAACTGTTTTAATACAACGCGATAAATAGCCACATCATTCTAGTGCGTAAATTTATTAATTATACATTTATATTTTTAGTCTCTTAAACTTCAAACAAAACAAACAATCGAACAAAGACACACAGCTGAGGAGTGGATAAGTCTCACCCTGTATAAATAGTATTTAAACATTTAAGTTATGGACAAACTTAAGCACTATTCTTGTACTCCAAGTTTCCGTCGCGAATATTTCTAGTAAACAAAGGACTCTTAAACAAAATTAAAAGATTAATAAGGCTTACTAAAATTTTATAGACGGAAACTTGTGAATCAAGAATTTTATTGTAACGAATAAAATAAAACAAGAATTTTCGAATTTATAATAGTTTTGTACTGGAGCGTCTTATCGTTGCTGGCATGTATCCAACATAGAAATGACGTCCGCAACTTGTATCAATCGTATTTTATTAAACCCCTACCATTTTGAGGAACATAGTCTCGTATGCAAGTTGGTATAAGTAATTCCGCACACATCAATATGATAACGAACTTTTATAACTTATCATAAACAATTTTGCTTATCACAATACACAACTTTGTTTATCCGACTTACACAAAACTATGAGCATTGCTTGTATGTGGTATAAGATCTAGCTGAAGTAAAAGATTATAATAGTACAATACCATAATTGTACCTACACAAAACTAATTTTAAGTAATACTTCTACAAGTTTAAAGTATGTGTTGTGACCAAACAATTTCGACACTCATTCCACCTTAAATCTCAAAAGAAATGTAAGTCTTGTAATCTAATATCGAATTTACCCGTTAGCGAGAAGGTATTCTAGATCCTGTCAATATCTAAACTGTGGGTACTAGTACACAACGTATATTACAAGTGTCTTTATGATAAAAACAGATTAGAACTAATAAAACGCATATGTATTTTGAAACGCTTTGAAACTTTTGGCCTATTTTTTTTATTATTTTGTTTTTTTATTTATTATTTAATTTATTTTTTTTATTATACTATTATTTTACAATCAGCCATTTTGAAAATATCTCGAAATGTATAATGTACATTTTCAAAATGGCGCTCGTTAACAATATAACTTTCAATTTCTTACTTTTTTTTATCTCGGAAACTTATCATTTTGTAAGATTTTTGTTATAGAACATTTCTTACTGGTATTAACAGCTATTAATTAATATTGTATTTTTGCGAATGTAATAGACAGACGATTCCTATCGCTTATATCCGCTTATCGATATCTCTTATTGATATATTATTGGAACGATCACTAGATCATCCGTATCATTGTAAAGGGAGTATGGTGTATGACAGTACCAAGTGAAATTAAACGAATTTTCAAATCCTGTTGTGTTCAATCAAGGTAATTTATGTACGTAAAAAAACATTCTGGCAGCAATCACCCTTAAAAAGTTTACTCAAAAAAACGAAAAGACATAGTTTTCATGAACTCCCCTAACTATCGTGATGTCGGAGATATAATCAATCGCAAGAATTGAAAAATTCCAATTTTTTAAATTCGAACGTCAAACCGCTGAGTTTGCGTCATTAAATTTAAGTCATCTTCAATCACAAAAAACGTAATTTGACAGCCTTTTAAAAGGATTTCTGAGTTCCAAGTTCTAGAGTTATTTTCAAATTAATAACGGCGCTATTCTAAAACCATCAGAATGATTAAGAGTCGAGTACTGCAATTAATGATTGTGTCACTCCAAAACAATCAACTGAAAATTGTCAGAAAAAGTTTTACGGCACTATAGTCATTATGACTACATGTTTTTCACGTTTGGAAGACCTATAAGTACCGTTCCAAAAAATTGGTAGGTACTTCACTAGAAATTTGTTTTTACTTTGTGGCCGACGAAATAGAGGTAGAGAGATGATTAAGATTAGTGTAGTGTATTATTACTACCGCAATGGGAATGCGAAGACGTGAGTATAAATAAGTATATGTATAAATTATTATGTATACAAATTATCACTTTAGACATTCAATTTCCACATTATGCAAACACGATAAGGTTTAATTTCCAATGCGTAATTTCAGCAGTTTCTGTTGTAAATCCGTGTCTGAAGTATCTCTATTCGGAAGTATTCGTGATGTGTAATGTCGAATGCAAAATAATAAAAACATGAATAATGAAAAGACAGTATGCGTTGATGATACAAATTGTCGCGAGTTCAATGGACGTCGGGAGCGAGTGGCTTCGCAGTGTCACCCACCCATTGGGAGATTTTACTTCTTACATTAACATGACATTGATACTATGTAAGTATAGAGCCCAATTTGTGCTACAATGTAACGGTACGCTATTCATTTCACCTTTTGTACGGACCGGCCAAAGTATTATATGCAGTGGTGGTCATAGAATTAAGAACGATTAATGACTGACACAAAGCCATTATTATTTTGCAATAACCATTAAGTGTAGAATTAATTTAAAAATATGCTCTGATGGTGTTATTACAATATTATCTGAGTTGACCTTTTTGTTTAGCGTTAATCTTGTTTCAATAACGGTACCTGTACATATATATTTTTATTTATTAAATCACAAGCACTCAGTTACTTCCCGGAACACTGGCTGGACAAATAATTAAGAACTAAAATGTAATTTTCTTTTTTACTATTTTGAAAATGGAACGCGATAATTGTTCATTACTATTTTTAAGTCCTTTGCGTGGCATTGTTGGTTTAAGAACGTTATAATACAATTATTTTTAGAAAATAAAAGGAAAAAAATAAATCTTGTGACTCTGCTACAAGGAAAGTTATATTAAAACTGCGTGGTCGTAAGTGGTCATATCAGAAAATTGCAGATCATTTGCATTGCTCAAAAACGAAGGTATACCAGGCCGTGAAACATTTGAAACCCACAAGACAACTATGAATATACTCCGTAAACCTAAAGAAAGAAAAACGTGTCCACAAGAAGATTCAAGAATAGTTAATCTCGTTAAGCAGGACTCATTCAAAGGCTCAAATCAAATAAAAAACGAAGTTTTTGGTGAGAACAATCCTCGCGCAATATCTGCACGCACCGTTTGAAGATGCTTGGTGGAGGCACACTTATTTGGGAGAGTAACAAGGAAGGTGCCCATGTTGACACCACGACATAGACAGGCCCGATTTGCGTTTGCAAAGAAGTATGAACACTGGACAGAGGCGCAGTGGAAGTATGTACTTTTCTCGGATGAAACTAAAGTTAAGAGACTATGCTCTGATGGCAAACAGTACACACGCCGACCTAAGAATATGGCATTTAATCCAAAATATACGAAAAATACAAGGTAATATGGACCAATACCAATACAAACACATCCTTGAAGAATGTATGCTACCGTACGCTGATGATAATCTCCCAGTAATTTGGACATTCCAGCAATAACAATGACCCGAAACATACAGCCTACTCTGTTCAAAGATTCCTCGACAGTCAACTGGTTACTGTGTTGGACTGGCCACCAAACAATCCAGATCTTAATCCAATAGAGCATCTTTGGTGTCAAGTCAAAAAGAAATAGGCAAACAGACGGTGTAGTAACGTAAACGTGTTGTACAATGCGTTTTTAGAAGAATGGTACTCTACTTCACTTGAAAACTGCAAAAAGTTAATAGAGTCGATGCCGCGCCGCAGCCATGCCGTTATCCACAGTCGAGGACAGGCTACTAAATATTAAATTTCTTTTTTTATTTATCATTATATTATTAAGAAAACGTTGTTAAATTAATTAAAATATACCACTTCTCAAATTATTGAAATATTGTGAATACTACAGTCAAGTCTCTACCTCGTTCTTATTTGTTTGTCCAGCCTCTATCGGATCAGATTGAGACCTGGATGGATTGAGGTGAGAATTTGTTATTATAGATCTAAATTATTTAAAAATACGATACATTAAAAACAGACTATACCAAATTATGTATCAAGGATACATACCTACTGAATATATAACAGCTTATTTTTTATATTTTACTGTAGCTCAGGGCAGTGACAATTTCAAAAGACAAGCATTAAAGTAGGAAATAAGCTAGTCGGACTTCTCGATACATTTGAAATGAATATGACATTAATAAGGACAATTTCATTTCCAAAACTAAAATAGAGTATAGTATAATAAAGTTTCAGTTTTAAAGATAAATTGAATGGAGAATATTGTCTATGTGGATGGAAAATGGTAAGCATGGCGGCGGTACGCATGCGTGATAAGGCTTCTGCGCTCATGGGCACGGCAGCTTGGCGTCGCGAACCGCGCGGGCGGCCGCCCATTGCTACCACGGATATACTTACCACATGTTCGAATCCGCGACAAATCGATACCTATTCGATCAACCAAACAATATAAGAACACGTGCCAAAATACAAGAATGCAATGCTCATTTTGTAACACAAAAATTAAAATAACCTAAACAATCGACGATCACTGCTCAACTAGACAATAATACCGCGGTAACGGCAATGGTTATTTGTTAATAAAAATGTGTTTTGTGATTGGTGTTTATGCTAGTGTTTATATAAACCAATTTAATTGGCGTTTAGTGTAAATTTTAGTGGATAAACCGGAATTTTAAACAGGTAAGACTTATATTATAGTATAATAAATTAAAAGTATACATATTAATTTTAAAAAATATACATTACATCAAAATTAAATAATATTAAACAATTTCTATAAGAATTGACGAAAGTTCTGATACTAACCAAATTTCTACGCACTCTTCTTACTCCTTACTTTTAAAAATAATTAGAATTAAAGCCCGAAACGTTGTGATCAAATTTTTTACTGTTTATGTGACCCTCAGCCGTCTATTTTATTAACTAACTATAACCTATATTCCACGACTTGGCACAAGGGGTTCTTTAAGGATAGAGTATAAAATGCAGAATATGAAAATTTAAAAATTAATAACTTTAATTTTATCGACACGTGGTTTCCATCATGCTATTTTTCTATTTTATCTACATGAAAACTAAGTTTTTACATAAATCAAACCACGAACATTCTTTGTGGTTGTAAGTTATATGTGATCATGCTGTTGAGGCATTTTTATCCTACGAAATGTTTATGCCACGTTCATCCACATGACGTGATTAATTTTAACGTTATTAGGGTTGAACTAAATATACATTGACCCACACCTTATCAAGTATGTAATTACTGGTTGTAGTCAAGCAGTCACACCGCAATCATTCCTGGCCTCCATCTATGGAATTTTCTCACAAAATGAGCAATATTATTATTACGGTAACTCTTAGGGTACAAATATATACATGACTCTCACACTTTTGGGCAGTCTGCAACTAGGGAAGACGGATCTGAAAGAAGCCCTAAATGAGGTCCTGAACTGAATTGCCCATGTCAGACGTCCTATGACTGTGCGATCTGTTTTATTTTCTGTTTTGCTCTGTGTGATCACGTGTAGCTTAACACCATGCGCTTGACTTGTTCATTCCGTCACTTGACATTTTAAAAGAAAAAATATATGTTAATAAGCGTGGTAACTCTTTAAGAGGGACGAAAGAGTCATATACTCCTAACATCCAGATTAGAACTAAGTTAGACAATTTCGTTTCTGGTTCGACCATTTCAACCAACATCCTCCTGATCTAGTCCATAGAGTCAAGATTTAAATACTGAAACTGAACATTCCGAAACGGCAGCTAGTTTTATCAAAACAAAAGCCGAAACAAAAAACAACCGCTCGCTCCTTTAGTGCAAAATTCGAAATCCAAAGCATACGATTTACGAGTTGTACGACGTTACAGTTCAGACTTCACTTAATTCTGAAAGACAATATCGGAATTCAAACTACACAGTAATGCGCACAATGTCACAGATCATGTTGTGTACAACATTACGGAACCACAGACTTACCGCAATATGGACTTCCGTAAAACCTTGCCATATTCGAATATCGATACAAAGTACATACGCGTCGAGTATACGTCACCAACACCTACATAGCTAATACTAACAAGGCAGAGCAGATGTTCTACAAAATAGATCAAGACACAATTGACATCCCTCAGCTCGTGAACAAGCCTTTGCGGAAAGCTAACCATGAAAGTTGGTTGAAACGAAGCAATTCTTAGTGATGGTTTCCATTCGTCTATAATGGCCCCATTATATTAAATACGGTAGTTTGTGTATGTACACAATTAACTTCATTCTCTTCTTAAACAGACCTAAGCCACCTGCATCCATCGACTCATCGTTCTACCAAGATGGTTGTCTGTCAGTGGGAATAATCGATTCTTCGTAGCCTCGTTAATTCTGTGTAGCCAACCGAGTACCTTTCTTTTGTTGTATCCGTAAAAAAGGTAAATTTTCATAAACTAATGTCCTATAAAAATGTGTATACCTACTGTTAGACTAGGGGTTCAAATGAGACTCGGTGTTTCTGTAACTTTCACATCGTTTATCTGAGAACATGGATCATCTTTTGCACGCCATTTATTTTATTCTGTTGCGTCAATAAGACTAGATTTCAGCAATGACTACGTTATTGCCTGAATATTTGGCTACTAATCTACATTTTTTTTACTTTAATGAATATCACGATATAAATAATATATATAATAAGAATATTTTCTCATATGTGATCTCCGAAAGGTCCCGGTTTGAGTCCATCGAAGGAATTATAATACTAGTCTATCTACACACTTTTACTCCAGAAGTGTTTCTCAAACATTGTTCTGCCGTGACCCACTCAATACTTTTAAACTCAAGCTGCTTACTTACATTAAGTAAAATAATACACATTTATTTAAACTAAAAATGTTTCACTAATATTATTTCGGTATCGCCTATTTAGTGCGAAGTATGGAGCTGCTGCTAATTTTTTTACGAAAGAATCCAAGTTTGCGGAAAATGACGAAAGTTTAATTTTGAGGTCTGGTTGCACTTCAACAAGGCGGGAATGTTGCGACCCGGTATTTTATTTTGATGGCTAAGTACCGGGTCACGACCCAACAGTTGGCAAACGCTGTACTCCAGTATTCCCGTTCGCTTTTTGAAGTGCAGGGTACAATACCTTCTTTTGATAAGAAGGCTTGAAATTTGAAATGTTCCATGTTTATTAATTTATATAACGAACTTTTCTCTCAACAACAAGGTAACAGTTAAAAATAATAAAAAAATCGTTTATTAGTTAGTATACATACACAAAGGTGGTGATTATCAACGGTGCGCATTTCTGTACCTAGGACCAGTTTCTAAGGTACGTACATTTCCTTCGCGCTTTACGTACCTTTCGCTAAAAACACAGGAAAACGTTCTGATGGGACCGGAATGTCGAAGAAGATTCACAACATTAAAAAAGTCTGAAGTTTCTTTAGCAGTATTGAGCCAGTGGCAGTGTGGCGATTTGGAACACGTCCGTCAGATTCCACTTTCGCCAGAAATTGTTTACTTTTTTAATTCCAGTTCAGTTTCGCCAGGAATGACGAATGTGGATAACCACACTAATGACACTTTCGTTAAATTCCAATTTCGTTATAATTTGCCAGGTCTTTCATTTAGGGAGAGAGAACAACGAGATCCTATCAGACTATTGCCAATGTTCGCCTCCTTGGAGGAGACGTACCTAGCAGTAGGACGTATAATATGTTGATGATAATGTACAAAATTATGTACGAAATGTGCATAAAGCAACAGTCGCCCCTTAAAATTTCCTGTAAATTCCTAAACAGTCCCACTTCTATTCGCATATTCAAATGCAGAGGCACGCTCCAAAGTCGATAAAGTGACGATAATACAAAAGGTTTCAACATTTACCTTTGTTTCAGGATGAAAGGAAATGTGATTTTCCTCCTTTTATTCTTCGGGCACCTATATGCACTGCCAGACACCATACGAATAGGTGAGTACTTACCAAATTTATATCGTCTAATACTATATGTAATGAAAAGTTATTATAATAACAAACCACTTCAGCAACTTTTGTAACAACCTCTAAAAGTGTATAATATTTAATCCAATTATGTTATCAATGAATTCTAATAACCATATCACTTTTGTTCTGGAGCTACACCAAGATCATTTTTTCATACATATTTACATGTCACATTGTAACTTGTGTAATATAATGTAACAAATGTATTTTATATACTTGTATTGTTACATTAATCAATTGACGCTACAGTTCTGGAAAGTCGATAAGTAAACCCAAAGCCAGTCGAGTAGGGTTATAATTCCAATAGCTGAGACTTGAATAATGATCGGCTTGTAATTGGTTGATTCTCTAGAATCAATGCGAAGGACTTATCATATCTTATTAATAGACGGTTCAAACAATACCAAACATATTTAATTAGAACTTAATTAAATATAACGTATTATATTTTCTTCTAAGTCAGAATATTTACTAAATTAAAGGTAGCTCTTGATTTCGCGTGTATAATATGTTAACAATTCTTTGAAAAATATATGGTATGGCTGTTTAGATGTAATACCACAAGTTCTTTTCGTCGTTGGAAACAATTACATTTCGTCCTAGTCTCCGAAGAGTTCCTCTTCTTCCACTTTTCTTGTAAGAGCTTACAAAAAATTATTTACATTTGATATATCTATTTAGTTTTATTCTATTCATCCATTTTACTATATATTTTATATCTATTAGTGAATCTATTTATCTGTGTATTATCAATTAAGTAACATTCAATTTATTTATTTTTATTGTGAACCCAGAAACCAACTTTCCTCTCAATTTTTCAAAGGTAAGAAAGGTAGGGAAGAAATCCCTTTGTGGGACACCGTTGTACACTAATAACTTTGTTTCTTAAAATTTGTAATTTATTTTGTGGTACAATAAAGTGTTCACATACGTACATACAAAATGATTTTAAGGTTTTCGTTTCGAAATCCAAATAAAATTATAATTAGCTTCCTAATCAGATTAATCTAAAACGAACTCAAGGAAAATAGTCAAAACAGACGTATATAATACGTGTAATTTATTTTTAACCAGCTTTAGATAGTAATTTCACGCTTAGTACGATATATTTACATTAAAGCTGTAATGGTCAGCTCCAGTCGGTTTGAGTGAGCATGAGACTGGTTGGTGGGTGTGAGTTCTGGTTGACCCGATGATGCGTGTAAAATTTATAAGCGAGGAGAAGGAAGGGCGCCTTACACACAACGAAAACAAGTTTCAAGTAGAAATAACCAGAATGCTTTATTTTAAATTTACATTAGTTACATGTTATAATTAAATTTATAGGTACAGCATGAAGAACTAGTATTTTTACTTCCCGAGTTTACAAAGGGAGAGTATGAATAGGTTTACTGCCCTTATTAGTTACATACAAAAGGTTACCTTTAAGTTTACTTAGAGCTAATACACTGCACTAAGAGTTTATGAAAGTACATGAGTGCCACATGGACACTTCACTTATACGTCACTGACCTGGAGTTTACCGGATGTACATTTAAATTACATACCAGAATCCGCTGCGAAGACAGCGTAGTGGCTACAGGAGTAACGTAGTTATAAGTAGATGCCGACCACCCGTGGAGCTCATGACACGTGGTCGGGCACAGCCGAACAAAAGTTACAGCAGCATAGTCTCAGCCATTCAGTTGATGGCGAGATTCGAAATTACATGTACCAAAGGTACAAAATAGAAAGAAAAGAAAAAAAACTAAAACCCTGCAACAAAATAGATTGTTACAGTACATTGATATAAATGACGAAGCATCTAATGAAGGAAAGAATCCAGAGGTCAACTCACCATGCGGTCCGGTGACACGGGTTTTACTTTTGGTACAGGGTTCGGAGACCCATAATTACGGCATCTGGCTATTCCTAGTTTATTTTATAAAAAGAGGCATTGGGGGACCATGCCCCCAATGGGATAAATCACCGTAGAAGATCTCAGAATTAGGAACACCTTGCGAGCCGTGTCGAACAGAAAAGAAGAAGCTTCCGCCGAATTCCTCCTAAGAGATGTTACCCGCGAACAACGCCACAGACAATCTATCGAATCATCCAGATACAGCTCCCAAGTCTTATCACCTAAACCCGCTAGAATACATGGCGATTCCAGGTTTACGTAGATTACCTTACAGGAAGTACTTGGCAACCTAAATGGCGGCGTTCGACATGGAAATATTAAAGAAAAGCTATAATTTACATGGGACTCGACTACAAAAGTAAAATTGAGTTAATTGGTACGCAGCACTAGTTTTCTGTGATACCAAACAAGAAAAATTAGCCAGGGTTGGTGTTTTCAAAAATATGTCAAACTACAGGGTACCCATTCACGCTATTGATTTTATAGAAAAATCGTTCACCAACAGGTACTACATATGTGAATGGTTTAAAGAATAGATTACACCAACACTTAAGTTTCAACTAATTTACTAAATATTTTTAAACTATAATGTCAAAGTGACATGTTGTACAAGAATGGTGAAATTACCAAGGAGAGAAGATAAATTTTGTTATTGTTTTGGTATTTAAGAGATCTACCAAAAAAAATGTGTTACAAAGCTACGCTCTTTAAAACAGTGATGTATAACGGGCTTTAGTAATACTCCACATATAACTACAGAATAACCGCTCACGCAATGCGCTCCTCCTACCGCAAAATGGCGGCTATTTGGTTTCGCAAATTAGAAAAGCATTCAGTTTAAATACAAGTTTTTATAAACAAAAATTATTATTCTGCATTGCTAAATAAATACCCTCCGTACTACCAACAAAAACATCTCAAATAAAATGCAGTAATACACCGCAAATCCTGCACTTAAAAAGCATTAATGAAATTTTTAGTGTACTTGGATAAATATGATAATATTCCGTTTGAGTGGTTCTAACGTTTACCATGAAATTACTCCTTAAGTATAGTTTATAAACATTTACATTCAAGGTAAACTTAAAAAACGCTAGGTACGGTATGTTTTCTATAAATAAACACCGAAATCACCAGCCCAAACAATAACACACACGATTGTCGTGACGTATTCTTGAAGTTGTTTATTTTTTAAGTGACAGACCCAGGCATTAAAAACTTTATGGTTTGCTAGAATTGTTACCGAAGTAGCAATTAATATTAGTAATCTTTTACCTGTTATAACTTCGATCAACACCGGCACCTCTAGGTGTGGTATGCGTCTACGGCTGCATGTATCGCGTGAGCGGATAAACAATTAAACTCTTTTTTCTTTCAAACAGGTGGCTTGTTTCACCCAGAGGACGATAAGCAAGAAGTAGCATTCAGATACGCAGTGGAAAGAGTGAACGCAGATCGAGCTGTACTCCCAAGGGCCAAGCTGCTGGCCCAGGTGGAAACCATCTCGCCACAGGATAGTTTTCATGCATCAAAACGAGGTTTGTGTATTATAAATTGTAGCATATTCATTTAGATAAATTTAGCGGAGAATTTATTTAGAATTTTATTTCCAATGAGACCGTGAAGAAAAAGAGACACTTAGCTTACCAGCTCACGAGACTTAAAAAAATATATTTTATTTCTGTCTCGCAAAAATTTGTTATCACAACACAATATGGATCTTCTTGTCCCGAATTTGATACATTAATATATTTAGTAAAACAGTACGTCAAGTAGCACAGTCTAACATTTAATAGTCATTATGGTGGTAAATCTGAATTAACTTGAAATGTCTTAAATATAAATACCTGGTATACTAGAACAATGAGTGTCATGAGGTTACAGGCAAAAATGTAATAAGTAAATATAAACTGAGGGGGCCTCCCACAACCTCTTAAAACAATATTACTATAGCATTCATCAACACGTCCGCTCAGCGCCGCGCGAGTGCCGACTGACTGGCGGCTCGCCGGCGCGCGAAGTATTTACGTGAGAGCGAGAGCGAGAGGCATACATATAATCTCTCTCTCTCTCTCTCTCTCTCTCTCTCTCTCTCTCTCTCTCACACACACACACACTCTCTCTCTCTCCCTCTCTCCCTCTCTCTCCCTCTCTCCCTCTCTCCCTCTCTCCCTCTCTCCCTCTCTC